GAGCTTGAAGTAATTTGGGACTCTTTAACTAATCTAAGCAGCTTCCCGTAACTTGGCTCTTCCTCCAGCAGAACCACTTAAGTGGAAGGAAGGCTCTTTAGAGTGGAGAAAGGCTCCAAATTTTGCTGGAATGGTAGGATACAGGCCATCATCTGTATGGATGTAAAAAATCCAATGTGTTGTCTTTTTCACTTTCCCCATGTGATGCCATTTTGGGATATACGATAATGGTTCATTCCCCATGGAATTCATTAATTCCAATTCTGAGAAATCTATAGAGATGTTTATTTTCTTCTTATCTTAAATTACCCATTAAATTTTAGTTGCGTACCAGATACAATGTTAACCACATCAAATATCAGGTCAGATCCAAACAGGTTTTTCACTCAGTCTCACCAAGTTCCTCTCCATACTACAGCCCCATCCCTCGTGGCTTTTATGTACATAGCTCACAAGATATCCAGCATAGCCTTTTTGGTTGTTTGAACATGACTTATGCTTCCATTTTCACCAACAGAAAAGCTGGTTGGTTCTAACCCATTATGTTATTATTGCTAATAGTTAAAATTTGTTATAGTATATGCTGAAAATTAGAAGTGGGTTAGCATTGCTAAAATGTTAAATTAGTTAATCTGTAAAGTTCCACTAGACTCCTAATTATTTTGGAAATTAAAGTTACAACATCTATTATATTAATGTAACACTGGTAGGGCACCACTGTATTAATATTCTCATACTCCAGACCACAAACCAGTAAAGTCTTGGATAAAAACTATGAATATTCACAGGAATAGGCATGGGATTCTAATAGCACAATCCTAAACAGAGTTATACCTTTCTAAGCCTATTGACTTCAAGGGGTAACTGCTTAGGGTTGCGCTGGAAGCAACTTTACATATGAGTCAGTTCTGTTTAAATAATTGGGACTTCTACAGGAATGTCAATTAATTTAAACCCAAATGGTCTGAGTTAACTAGTGCTAGAAATCATTCAGGTACCAAACCCTGCTTTTGATCACATTCATGTCAAGAATTCCCCTTCCATGGGTTCCTTGCTATGGGTGGGCAAAGCTCAAAATTACAAAACCTTGGAGTGTGCATTCATACACTCCCCAGTATGGTAGTCTGCCACCAGCCCATTGAACTACGCACACAGTCATAAGCCAAGGGGCAAGCTTCTAACCTTACTGGGAAATAATTAAGAAAGCCAACCCCACAAGGTAGGTTACTTGCAGAATGAGTTTCCACTAATCATTAACCAGTAGGTATATGCTTTAAGTCTAAGGTACTGGAATTAGATTGAAGTTTTTGAAGTACAGAACAACCAGATACAGTAAAAGTATCTATTTATTAAAGTGTGCAGGAATATTCCCAAAGAACAGAGTAATGAGCAGGAAAATAAGAAATCTAATAATAAATTCTAATTACACATTATACTCTAAATCATAGTCACCATAGGTTACTCTTCTTGGTGAAGTCAGGCATCTTTGCATGCCAGGTCCATGTCTAACCCATGACAGGGTTAGCTCATTGCCTCCGGGAGAGTTGAAGCCGGCTTGCTCCAACTAACAGGAAAGCTAAACTTCTGAAAATCTAAAATTTGGACAATCTAAAATGAGCCAAACCTAAACTCAGATTACCGAGGTTATCTTGACATGGATCTGTGACAACAAATGGCTCAGAAGAGGAACAGTTTTTATGACGGGATGCTTCCATTCAGTGATATAAATCAAAGGATCAAGAAAAGAGTGGGATGTGTGTTGGAGCCACAACCCTTCTGGGTGACCAAATGGTGTGGCTTCCTTGTCACTGTTATTCAAAGGCACCGACAGACTTGTTAACTTTCTCGTGGCAAACCCCAGATTTTTCCCTTTGATCTCTCCTTCCATATTTCAGGCCTAAGTTTTGATACAAATCTTGAATCAATATTTTAATACAAGAGTTAGGACCTGAACTGGAGGTTCAATTTTCCTTGACAACTCATTAATTAAAATATGAAAATTACTTTACAAACATAACATTTTGTGGTGCGGGCATTAAAGAGCCCCAAAATATTAAACAGTTGCCTCTTCTCTCAGTTCCATTTCCAGTGTTTTAATTTGGAAAACCTAGGCTATGTGGATCTTCACTTTTATTGGCGCAAATATCTGTGAGCAGGGCTGGCTCGCTCACTAGGCGAGCTAGACTCTCGCCTAGAGCGGGGCCATCATGGGGGTGACAGACTGAAGTCTCCCTCTCCCCTGCCAAAAGCCCCCCGCCCCTGCCAAAAGCTCGCACCGCGCCCTGGCCACTGGTGAAATGGACAAGCTCTCTGAAATTGACAAGCTTCCCTCACCCGCCTCTGGTGAAATTGACACTACCAGAGCCCTGCAGTTTTTCCTCCACTGAAATTGACAAGAGTTTTTCTGCTTACCCCTCCAGGGCTGGGCTGGTAACTGCGCCCTCGGATCACCCTCTTTCTTTGGCCCGCCTCTAATCCCACTGGTGCCCCTCCAAGCCAAAGCTTTCTCAGCGGGGGGGGGGACGATGCTGTCTCTTTTGCCCTTGATTTCTGCCACTGCTTCTAAGGGCCTTGGGGGGGGGGGTTGTCCCTTCCGGGCAGAGAAGAGAAATCCTGGTGAGGATCCAAAGTGCGCCTTCCCAGACGGTGCCCTAACTGAATCGGGTCCTACGGAGGTGGGCGTGAATCATGCCCCTGTGTCGCTGGGGCCAGGGAGACATCTGGAAGCGATTCCCCTTTGCTGAGGGCAGACCTCCCACCTCCAGTGGGGTCTCTGACCACGTGTCCAACCTGGCTGTGAAGCCACTTCAAAGGAACTGTTTACACGTGTGTGTCTACGTTACAAGGCCTCGCCCACCTGAACTTCTGGATGCCTCCTGCTGTTCTCGCACTAGGCTTCTTTGGACTCTCTATTCTAACTGCGGTTGCCACCCACAACTACTTTCCTGCCTGCCTTTCCTCCCCTTGGCCCGAGCGATCCACTTCATGCGCGCTCCCAGAGGGGGGGCTGCATGGTGCCGGCGCTTCCAGGACGCCGAGGGTCCCAAGCCATGGTCGGGGACTGCCTTCCGAGCCAGTGGAGGTGGGGGCCCAAGCTGATGTGTGGTTGCTGCTTGGAACCAAGCCCCCAAGGGAATCAGAGGGTCTTTCATCCAGTTGGGAAGCCAGGGAGCCACACTGCTGTCTTTGCTATCAACTGATCGAGGACATGGAAGAAAGTCTTCCTTCTTTCCAGGCCCCGCCTGGAGGTTGGCAACCCCGTAATTGGTGGGGGCGCCAGAAGGTAGCCTCGCCAAGTGTACAAAAAGACCTGGAGCCGGCCCTGTCTGTGAGGAAGGTTAGGTTAAAGAAATAGTGACTGGCCCAAGAGCATGCAGTGAACATCACAATGGAACTGGGATTTTTAACAGATGCCTCCCTGGTTCTGCTAACACAACACCTTTAATACAAGATCATTTGACACTGATATATATTAGTATAGGGGGTGGATAGGAGACATTTTTTTCTCTTAAGCAATTCCTTTGAAATGTTTTCCCAATGGGTTCATTCTTGTCTAAGCATTTGAGACATGACAATTTTCTATGCATTTTATCATACCTCTGCCATGAGGTGATTAATGTGCTCTTAATGTGACATGCTATAATTTGTATTGGGTGTTTAACTGTTTTGTTTGCGTCTTGCCATTTAAAGAAACCTTTGGAAAGTGCTGTCAAGTTGCAGCTGACATGGTAGCTCCATAGGGTTATCAGGGCAAGAGATGAACAGAGGCGGTTTCCCATTGCCTGACTCCTGGCAGCAACTCTACTTTTTTTGCTTGTCTCCAAGTACAAACCAGGGTCAATCCCACTAAGTTTGTGAGATCTGATGAGATCAGGCTAGCCTGGGCCATGGAGGTCAGAGCAAACTCTTAACTGTCTGCAATTCACTCTCCCCCCACCCAAAATTTCTATTGTATTGGTTGTGATAACTATTTCAGATCTTTTCCAGCCCAGGATTCCAAGGGGAAATGGATTTACATTATTGTCTTGGGGCACCTTCTCAAAACCACTTTACACGGATTAAATACTCCTTTTGAGAGTGGGAAAAGATGGGATGTTTCCCAGTTTTTAATAATATCGATATGAGTGAAGTGGGGGTTCCGCAGTGGCAAATCACCACAGATCACCCGGCATTCCAGAAACAGGAGGAACAGGCTGCAGTATGTGCATTGCACGAAACCCTTTTTGAGAGAAACTGCTGGGGCCCAAGCACAACTCCCTCTCCAATCCCATCATCTCCCGTCCATTCAGAGGTGAGGATGAGGCATTTGACTCACACTTCGAGCAACTTCATGGAGCTTTTCTATTAAGTCAGTGCTCCCCCCCGCACGCGCGCCGAGGCCTGAACTCTGACATTTCACGGGAGCACTCGGGCTCAGCCCTGCTTCCCACCAAGCCCCAGGAGGACGCAGTGCTTAATAGGCCAGGCAAGGCTCTTTGAAGGCGGCAGGCGGCTAGGAATCACAGCGGAGGAAAACGCTATTCATTGACAAGAGTCGCGGGGTGGCTCTTTCAAGGCAGTGGCGACCGCGGAGAAGGTTGGGAGAAGCAAGAGGAGGACGGGACGGGAGGGAGGGAGGGCAGGAGGGTGTGGGAAAGTCTGGCAATCAGAGTCCTGCAGTGCTGGCGGGGCTGAGGGCGCGCGCGGAAGAGGCGCCTCTCGCGCCGCTGGAGAGGCACCTGAGGCGAGGCGGTGCTCTGGCGGCCGCCGCTTGAAGAGCGAGAGATCCCGTCGGTCCGTCGAGAGAATGTCGTTCCCCGTGAGGTGGAGTGCGGGGCGGGCAGCCGAGGGCAGGCTTATGAAGCGGGGCAAATTTGCAGAGGCGGGGAGAGGTGGCAGGGGAAGGAGGGAGGCGGTGACATCAGAGCGCAGAAGGTACAAACAGCGCGGACTTCACTTGGGGGCGAGCAGAGTTGAAAGGGCGCGATTAGGCTGAGGCGAGCCCTTCCTTGGCCCCCGCCCCCCGCCCGAGCCGTCCCTTCTGCCCCTGCGCGTGGCAGCCCGGGCCGTGGGAATCATGCAGAGGTCGCCTCTGGAGAAAGCGAACGTCTTCTCCAAACTTTTCTTCAGGTAAGCGGGTCGCCGCCTGGGCGTGCACGTGCTGCCGGCAGGGTGGGCGGCAGGGAAGAGCGCGCGCGCCGCCGGCAAAGGCGGAGGAGGGGGTGTGTGTGTGGAGGGAAAGGATGCTATTTAAGTTCGGGCGGGAAAGCCGGGCGTCCACTTTGGGCAGCCCGAGGTCGGGAGAGGCTGGCTTTCCTCCTTGCTTTGGTCCTTCCCGACGCGAGGTGCCCGGGCGTCGCGGTGGGAGGTCGTCGAAAGCGTGAAGTGCTTAAAGGCCGGTTGGTTCCTTGCTGGGAGGCTGGCGTGCAGGGCTCGCTCGCACGCCCGCCTCTCTCCTTCTGCTGAGCAGGCAGGGAAACTCAGCGAGGATTCGTTCCTGGCAAGTAGTATCGTCGCGCAGCCCCTGAGATGCTGATAATCAGTGCTGCCGACTACCGCTGGCAACGGGAGAGGGCTGGGGCGGTGAGGAGGACCCGCTCTCTCCCCCTCCCCTCCCACCACTCCTTGGCGACCGCTCTCAGGCGCCAGGCTCATCCTCCAAGCAACTTTGGGCAGACGGACTGCTGGTCGCTCGCTTGCGGGATCGGCTGCTTGCGCATTCCAGGACATGCTGTGTGTGATAGATCTAGGCCTGGGAACAAGTGGCGGGGGCGGCAGGTATATCCCCACAATTTCACCCTTCCCTTCCTGTCCCTGAGCACAGCAAACACCTCCAAACCCTCCGGTGCAAGGCTCATGAACATATGCGGCCCGATTCTGTGCACGGTTTACACGAAAGTAAGCAAGACTGAATTCAGTAAATGGGCATAAGATCGCAAGCTTGCACTAAATCTCAACCCCCCCCCCCTGTGGCTTTATTGTATTTTATTGGTGGAGGGGGAAAGCCCCAAGTAGCTGACACACAAGGTACACCTCAGGGCCAAAGTACATGTTGCGATTTGTGTGTGCCTGTGTCTAAAGCACACAGAGAGAACTTTTTCTCCCTCTCCCAAAACACTAGAGCTCCCGGGCATCTAATGAAGCTGATGGGCAGTAGATTCCAGACAGACGAAAAGAAATACTTCATTACACAGAGAGTGATTAAAATGTGGGATTTGCTATCAGAGGATGTAATGATGGCCACAGGCATACACAGTTTTAAAAGGTTAGACAGATTCATGGAGGATAGTCTGTCAGTGGTTACTAGAGATGTGTGTGAACCTCTGAATCCCAGTGCCAGGAGGCAACATCAGGGGAAGGCCTCAACCTCTATTCCCTGTTGTTGGCCATCCAGAAGAACTGGTTGACCAGTGTGTGGGACAGGATGCTGGACTAGATGGACCACTGGTCTGATCCAGCAGGGCTCTTCTTATGTTCTTATGCTGCTTGACCCACACACTCCATCACTTTTGGTTCAAAATTGCACAGTGGTCAGGGGATATGGGGGAAAAAAAGCTACCTCCTGATGTCCTGCTCATTTTGGTCTGCTGATACTGTGACTGGTTGGGCTGACCGTAATATACTAGGCTGAAGGGTGCCTGCCAACCCAATGGAAGGATAATGCCAAGGTACAGCATGTTACTAGAGGGTACATTTATATGATAACAATCTTGAGTAACTCAAAACAACTATCATCCTCAGTTCTGTACTCACACAATTACAGATTAGAATCACTACTCTACACATAAAGATGTATTGAAAGAAAAGGGAAAATATCTTTAATGAACTACCATGTTTTCACAGATGCAGGGACGTCTACAGTGTGTCATAGGGTACATGATCTCAGTTGGCATATTCAGACTCCTCCCCTGTCTTTTTGACAGGAGGTCTAGAGATGTTTGCCAGGAATGCTTGGTGGCAAGGGCTTCAAAATGGAGAGGGCAAAAAGTAGTACATCAGTTTTTTAAATCGAAGAATGTGGCTGCTTATGCAGACATTTGGGTTTATGTATGTTTAGTGTGAACAAAGGGAAGAAAGTGGGGATTCTGTATCTCTGATTTGAGAAAGTGACCCTGTGATATTCTGAGGCAAACACTGTGCAAGGGTTCTGCTCCTCTCCATTGTCACAAGAGTTCATACCTTTGCAGTGCAAGCCTCAGCGGAGTTATTCCAGTCCAGCCACTGGATAGCTCAATAGCCTTAGACCAGAGTCACTCTGATTAGGAGAGCACTGTCAGTTGCCTATCATACCCCTAGCTTTTCTCCTTCCATCCTCAGAGGTGAAGGACAGTCTAACAAATGCATTTTTTAAAAACCATACATGTACTAAATCCTAAAACAGGAAGGACTGGGTAGAGTGACTGTTAACTTTATGACACATCATTCTAAGTCAAGTACCCTACACATGACACTTCTTACACAAGAAAAATCCAGTCTTGGAGGTTAGAAAAAGATTGATCGCAGGCTACAGCTTCTAGTTTCCTAAATACATGACAAGAAATAAAAACTCAGTTTGTGGATGGTCATAGTTTTTTGACTCTTAAGAAGGTAACAAGATCTACTGTATCCTTTTATAAGACTGTTATTTATTTGTATCCCACCTCTCTCTCTCTCCACTGGGGACCTAAAGTTGCTTTCATTGCTCTCCTCTCCTCGATTTAACTTCTCCAGGTGGCTGCATTGTGTGTCTCACACATTTTTCTGTCACTGCCACCACAAATGCAGACACATTCACACTGGCAACAGAGAATTCACATGGGAGATTTCTGTGCCCTATCGCCCATGAGTTTACCATTTGCCCTGCATTCTTCTACCATCATGCTACTGGAGGGCTTTTTCTGGCTTAAAAAAAATGGTAATTGTCATGCTCTACTAGTTCCTCCGAATCCCCAACTTTCATTAAAAAACCCCCACCTTTAACCTTTATTGTGGCAGAAATATAAGAGGAAATGAAAAAGGTTAGAGATGTTTAACAGAAAAGAAAATTGGGCATTCTAAAATGAATAGATTGTGGCAATAGATTATTATTATGTTATACATTATAATGTTATAGCTATCTAGCAGTTATCAATTTAAAAAAGAGCACTGTGGTGGCTCAGGGGAAACTGACCACTACAAGGGACTGAAGCAAGGGAAAAGGTGCTGATTTTTTGATATTCCTGTCCCCCTAAAATCTTATAAGATGGGACAATTAGGGGTCAATCTTCAGGAGAAAGGCATTTAAATATTCTAAATAAATGTTTCCTAAGCTGCTTTGGTTTGGATGCCAAACTGGAATAAAACCTCTGTGCAGAAGTAACCCCAGTCCTTAGCAATTATGACTTCAGTTTTGGTTTTGGTTTCAGGTAATATACCAGTGGCACCCAAGTATTTTCTAGTGATCACTGATGCATTAAGAGTGGATGAGACAGCATTCCCATTCTCTTTTCAGACTTTCTTGTTTATGTTAAACAAGTTTTCAGTCCCAATACAGGTGGGCTTGGGTTAGGCTGGATAAAACCAGTCTGGTGTATGAAACTTCAGTGTGAAGTTCAGGCTGCGCAAGAGAGAGAAAATCTGTTAGCTGGAGCATCATTCTCTAGGTAAAGGTAAAAGTTCCCTTGCTCGAAAGCCAGTCGAGTCCGACTCTAGGGTTGCGGTGCTCATCTCCGTTTCAAAGCCGAAGAGCCAGCGCTGTCCGAAGACGTTTCCGTGGTCATGTGGCCGGCATGACTAAACACCAAGGCGCACGGAACGCTGTTACCTTCCCACCGAAGTGGTACCTATTTATCCACTTGCAATTTCTTGCTTTCGAACTGCTAGGTTGGCAGGAGCTGGAACTAAAGATGGGAGCTCACTCCGTCATGCGGCAACTCGGGTCTCGAACTGCTGAACTACTGACCTTCCACAGCTTGCAGTTCAGCGTCTTAACCACTTGAGCCACTGCAGCTCCTCTCTAGATAATAATAAATTGCCACCAAGTTGCAGCCAACTAATGGTGACCCCCTAATGGGGTTTTAAAGGCAAGAGATGAACAGAGATGGAGTGCCATTGCCTTCTTCTGCATACCAGCCCAAGTCTTCCAGCCCAGGTGACCTCCCATCCGAATACTAACCATGGCTAATCTTGCTTAGCTTCCGAGTTCTGACTAGCTCAGGCTAGTCATTCATCATTCTCAAACATGCATGACCCTTGCTGGATACAAAACTGCAGATGACACCTTTCTGTTCTTTTGTATTTATTTATTTATAAATCTTATTTCTACTCGGAAAGCACCTTAAAGACAGCTCACAAACCAGATAATAAAATAACAATGTCACAACAGACCATCATAAAAAAGAACAGAACACTGAATAAAACACACTAGCAGAGTCATCCTAACTCGAGCGATACCTTTTTAATGACCTTAATGGATTTAGAAGAGTGTAACTCTGCTTATACTGTAAGCACTGTAAAACCAGTAAAACCAAATCAAGTATCAAAAACCTGGGAGAATATAAATGCTCAAATATAGTGCTTGAAGGAAAACATACGTAGTGTCTCTGGGGACATTATTTCACAACCAAATGCCACAACAAAGAAGGCAGAGACACCAAAGTCTTCACCCACCTAGGCTCAGAATGCAAAGGTACCCAAAGCAGGATCTTAAGAAGATTTCAGAGATGGGACAAGTTCATGTGGGCTCAGATAAGCTTCTCTTGCAGTGATTACAGCAATTGTGAATAACAGAAAACTAGCTGGATAGTCTGTGCTTTACTATAAGGTTATATGGAAGTGGATTTATGATCTGTCCCCGTGACCCACAACAATCCTATTCAATTAAATTTAAGAACTCATCTAATAGCGGGAAGCCTTGCATTCTGTTATGCAGGGCTTTTTTTTTGGAGAAAAAGCCCAGCAGGAACTCATTAGCATAATAGGCCACACCCTGACACCACAGCTCATTAGCATATTAGGTCACAGCCCCCTGTTGCCAGAAGTGTGGTCATCCTGCCACACCCACCTTTTGCTTCTTATTCTGTTTACCTTGTTTGTTGTCAAAACCCAGGGCCTTTTTTTGTAGCAGGGACTCCTTTGCATGTTAGGCCACACACCCCTAATGTAGCCAATCC